GGACTATAGAATATCTAAAATAAGAAGTACTCACGATAACTGTCTTCGTATGTCAAAGGCTTATCTTCTTTGACCCTTTTTGTAACTTTCAGTAGTTTGCTTACTCCAAAGTCAGCAACTTTCAGATGTCCAGTATCATCCAGCAAAATATTTCTGTTATCTTACTCCAAAAAAAATGAACTATTATTACATGAAGAGTCTCAAATCACAATATGAAAGCATTGATGCTACTCGAAAACTTGGCTAGGCGTTAGTATAGACAAAATGTAATTCAGGTAACCTGACGAAAGTGAAACTTATGAAGGCTCAAGATCACGATGAATAATTGCTTCTTTATGTTCATGCAGGTAATTCATTCCCCTAAAACCAAATATTATATATGAGAATTTTAATACTCAGCAGTAATGCTCCAATCAAAGGACTAAAAGACATTGATATTTTACATCCAAAAAAAGCTTTAGAGTGAACGGTCAAAAACACACCTAAAGTATTCCAGTTTTTCGAGTTTCATATGGTCATACCGGAGCTATCAAGTGTACGAGTTTTCTACCAGAACTATTCATCAAAACACAATTCAACATCAATTGTTCTCTTTTCTTACCTGAACGATGGTTATATTTCAGGTTGGAAAAGGGGAACAACAGATCGAGGAGGTGAATTTTGAAAAATAGTTGGTGCTAGTTTAGGTAGGAAACTCGCATAGTTCAGATGGTAAACTCAAAAAAACGAATTCTTTTAAGTGTATTTTTGAACATTAACTCAAAGTTTTATAAGTAATGCATAATGAAATTTTATTTTTTTTAAGAAAAATCTAAACCATTAATCTTGCAATTTATAAAGAGTTAATGATAATGGTCAGTGGCACAGAGTGGATGTGAACCTCGCGATGTCCATTGCACGACTTTAAAAATATAAAGAGTTAATGATAATGGTCATTCGAGGATAGTTCTTTTGGTTATATTTGCACGACTTTAAAAATATAGACAAAATTTAAATGATAACCTAAAAAAGGGACATTTGCGTAAATCGACCTTAATTGTGTACTTTATGTTGCAGACATTGTACAATTATGGAGCAAGGAAATTTGTGTTAATTTGAGTGGGCCAAATTGGATGCAGCCCAAATGCTTTGGCCCAAAATAGCCCAGATGGAAGAACTTGTGCTCAAAATATTAATGTGGCAAATCAATTATTTAACAATAAACTGAGGGCACTTGTGGATAATTTAAATAGAAATACACCAAATGCTAAATTAATCTACATTAATGCTTATGGAATATTTCAAGATTTAATTGACAATCCCTTTGCTTTTGGTAACTTCTCTTTCCCTCCCAACTATTCTTTCAATCCATATTATCTGTCTTTTAAGTTTTCTACTTACTTGATTTTATCGTAAGAGTAGCTATCTATACTATCATACATATCTGTCTTAAAAGTCTCACTTAATTACTATTGTATCGGTAGTCGATAACTTTTTCTGCTTGACCTAGTATTTCGATTTATTTAATGTTTTGTTTAGTCAATATTATCTATCATGTAAGGTTTTCACTTGTAAATTGTTTAAAGATATTTTTGACGTTTAACTTTATTGTATTTTCAGAATTTAGAGTGACGAACGCTGGATGTTGCGGAATAGGAAGGAACAATGAACAAATAACATGTCTACCATTTCAAAATCCATGCCCAAATAGAAATGAATATTTATTTTGGGATGCATTTCATCCAGGTGAAGCTGCAAATATAATTGTTGGAAGAAGATCTTATAGAGCCCAAAAGTCAACTGATGCATACCCTTTTGATATTCAACGTTTAGCACAATTGTGAAGAAAAAATAAATATGGTTATTATTAAATATATAAAAATTATGTGTATTGCATTCTAACATTCTGTTTGTATCATTGTTTCATAATGTATTGTATTGTATTGTACTGTATTGTATTGTATTGTATGGTAGATATAATCTTTGGCTAGACTGTATTGTTTGTTGTTGTTTAATAACATTTTTCTTGTTTGGTTTGACTGTATTGTATTGTATTTAATTGTAATTTATAAATTTACTAAAATATCCTTAATTATTTTAGGGTAGGAGGTTTGACTAGAATTAAATAATATAAGGTAAAGGGTAAAATAGTATTATGAAATATTATGTAAAGATATAATTAGAAAAAGAAATTAAGTAAAAATGGGAACACACCAAATTGGTTGTTCCATAAAATGGAGGTTTTCATTGTTACGTAACAACGGAATTTAACAATACAATACAATACATTTTAAGTAACAATCAAAACAAACATTGTAGGTATAATAACGATACAATACAATACAATGGATAACAATGATCCAAACAGAGTGTAAATGTACAATTTGTTATTATCTATATATATATATATATATATATATATATATATTTGTTCCAACTTGGAGTCGTAATTATGTATGAAGTCATTTTTATAGAGAGCCTTTATTCTGTCAAGTGAGACTTTTCTATACAAATATAGAATAATCAGGCTTGAATGTGGATACCCGCCACTAATATATATGTTGTCTAATTGCAAAGAAATAGGCAAATTACATGTTTTATCTTTCTAGAAATGCAAAAGTGCAAATGGCAAAAATTGACAAAGTACTAAATTGTGATTAATTTAAATAAATCAATAATTACTACAAAAGAAATGCACCTAAATCTTGAATTAATATTTCATTAATTGCTTGAATAAATACTAAAAGGCCAAAGCAACGTAACTAACTATCTAGTTTAGCATTTAATATATAGGGATTAAAGTCCAACCTTACGTCAAATAGTACCTAATTTATTTATTTTCAATGAATTTTCCTATTTCATCTTTCCATTCACTTTTACTATTCCAGTAATACCCTTTCAATGTTGCATTTTTAACAAACGGAAACGACGATCAAAACTGCTAAAGGTACTATTTTATCAAAAAAGAAAGAAAACACTTGTCGATTCTGTGCATATAGGCAATGCCCATATTAAAAATAACTTTAATTTTTTATTAATTTTTTAATGTTCACCAAGCAATTAAGAAAATGATTATAATTTTAATTACAAACATCTATTGATTTAGCCAAATACTATTAGGAGATGACTTAATCCGCACTCTTACTATATTAGGATGGCCGGGGTTCGATCTTAAACCCTATTTGACGATGAGTTTTTGCATTTATATTATTTCAACTTATAAAAGATAGTTTAAGAGACTTACGAGTATCTTCTTGCGGGATCAAATTAATGGACAGTAAAAATTATCACAAAGCGAAAGAACTATTTGATTTTCACATCCTCTATGAATAGGTAGTGTAAGTTCCACTTAATTATTTCTCTAGCCAGAGTGTTATGTCATTTTAGTGGACCTAAGCCACACTCTTACTATTAGGATGGGGCTCAACTTTTGAACCATACGTGAAACGACTTTTTGCCTTTACGATATTCCAATTAACCATCACTATTACCAATTTAGGATTTCACGGACTGGGGTAATTCTTTTGGACACCACCATTTAATTTATATCCGTCTTTTAATTAATTTCTTTTTTTGTATAAATATCCATTTCGAAACAACTTTAAATATGCAGTATTTGAATTTATGTTTAACGAAGTCTTACTTCAAATATAAAGATATGACTAAAATTCAGACAAAAATAAATCCAGACAAAAATAGTTATATTTCTTCATACAAAAATGCTTAAACTTCAACTATATGAAACTTGAGTCATTTTATCTAACAAATCTAACTTCAGACATGCAACTGAAATAAGTAGACTTGCGAATTTTTCAGACACTATACGAATATGGTTTAAATGATCGATATATGGTCCCAAAATTAGATATCTCTATACTTCAGCTGACTTTTTTCTTACAAAAGCAGATCTGCAACAACTACGACATCCTTGATATCCTCTATAAATAGGTAGTTCCAAGTTCAACTTTTTACATCAATCACTATCCTTCCCATTTTTCTTTGATTTCTCTTTTCATCATTCAATAACTCAAGAATGTCTTCATGTAAGGATCATATAGTTTTGATGATTTCAATGTTTATTATGTTTTCAATGGTAAAAGGTCAACCACAAGTGCCATGTTACTTCATATTTGGAGACTCAATAGTTGATAATGGGAATAATAATAACCTTATAACAACAGCTAAGGCAAATTATTTTCCTTATGGAATTGATTTCCCAAATGGTCCACAAAATGGAAGATTCACCAATGGCCGTAACAAAGCTGACTTTATTGGTACATTTTCTCTATCAATTTTTCCTTTTCTTCGTTCCACGATAACAACATATTCAGTGTAATTTCATAAGTGGGGTTCGAAAAGAGCAAGATGCATGTATATCTTATATTTACCTTCATGGAGTATGGTCTGTACAAAGATTGTTTCCAATATAGACCCCTCACAGTGTTCAAAATTAATACATATATAAACTCCCACACAAGGCTACTTTTTTCGAAAGCTCCGCAGAACCACCTATATTGCTAATTATCTTCGTATCATCTTTTGTTCTTCTGAATGTCTTATCCGTGATCAACAAACAAGAATGATTGTTGGGAAAAGCTTAACTATATTGATATAAAGTAATATTTAACTTATATATAGAAATTTCCTCCATCCCAATGTCCCAAGATAGTCCATCTTTTTATATTTAGATATGACTTAACTTTACAATTTTTATTTTCTCTTTAACTAATTAATGAGATGAATTGTATCCACATAACCTCTTACTCCTTTGTTTTTGACCATAATTTTTAAAAGATTTTCTCTTTTTTTCTTGAATTATATATATCGAGTCAAATCAATGCAACATTCAATGGAAAGGAGGCAGGGGTGAAGCTATATTAGCGGGTGGTCAATTGGACACCTATGGTTGATTTTTTTTTTACTATGTGTATTATTAATCAGTTATTAAGTTTTATACACGTGCATTAACTCTATCTTAAACACCATAAGTGAAATTCTTGACTTTATCACTGGATGAATTTTATTTTTTACGATGGATCTTCACCGGCTTTAGTACCGCCCCCTTGACTAACCGCGTTTTTCTTCCGTTCAGCTGAGCTCGTGGGATTCAATAGCTCGATTCCACCATATGCAACTGCAAAAGGCAATACAATCCTTAGAGGAGTAAATTATGGATCAGGAGTTGCTGGAATTCGCGATGAGACCGGTTATCGATGGGTAAAAACTCGTTAATTTTTTTTACCTAGGTACATAATATATAATTTTTCGATGAATGAGGTTCAGTTAAGTCCCTTCCACTTATTAAATCCACCAATGTCACACAATTTGTTACATCATTAATTGAATCTTCTTCATGAAAAGTATTTTTTTTATTTCATCAAGTTGTAGACGGGAAAGAAGTTCCATCTAGATCATTTCTCAACAATACAATTTCTTTCAGATTCATTAAATTTTTATGTACCGATTCTTGAATGTCTTTTATGATAAAATATGATCATGTGAGAATGTTTTTCCGATTTTACTCGTGTAATACATGTTAATTCCTTCTATTTTTCCATATAAAACCCTTCATAATGTCGTCTTGGCCTTGCATAAGTAGTAAACATTCATAATAAAAGTGTAATTTATCGTATGTTTTTTATTCAACACACTTTTCAAATTTTACATTCCCTTATAATATACTAAAAATGCATGTTCAAATTTCAGATATGATATTTTCCCATTTTTTATAATCTCCTTCTTAAAATCCTGACTCTGTCACTACCTACATATACTATTAAGGGCTAACCCATCGGTGGCCCCCTAAACTTGGCACGATCTTTCACTTAGACACCTTAACTAGGCTTTGTTCATTTTAGACACCTCATATCACGCTCAACTGTGTTATTTTGACACTTTTTTCACTAGCACATGTTGACTTCAAGTGCGTGTTAACCAAGCGTGTCCATGTGGATTAGATGCCCAATTATATCATGCCAACTCATTAAAAGACTATCATATTAAAGAGGAAAAATAAGAATTAAAATACATGACAAAGTAACCAATGAATAAATGACATGTGGTCTTTTTATCCCAAAAAATTAAATTAAATATTTGACAAATTTAAAGAAAATGCAACCCCCACAACATCCCCAGTCATCTTCTCCATTCATCTTCTCCATTGTATTACTCCATTTTTATTATTTTTGAGCTTTATTCTTTCTGTCATAATCCCACACCCACACAATCTACTCTATCATATTCCTTCATTTTCATTACCTTTTCCGTCACACCCATAACCACACAGTCATCTTCCCCGTTTTATTCCTCTTTTTCATGATTTTTTTCTGCCATATTCCCCATTAATTGCACCCTCCCTTAGGGCTAAAAGGTGCAAATGTATAACAACAATGGTTCATATTTTAAAGATTGCGTCTCTTTTTCTTTAATTTTGTGATATTTGCAGTTTAATTAGGGCTCAAGGTTAGTGAGATTAACATTTACATAGTAAAAATTGAGATTTTTTGGCTCCTATTTTAGGATTATTGTGGCCTGTGGGTGAACTTTACATGATTTAGGGTGTTGTTGATATGAGTTCGATTTCTTGTTTCTTTTTGGGTCTATCTGAGTTTGTAGTGCGAAATTGAAATTGAAATTATTATAACAAAAAATTTAACCTCCATTAAAGTACTTTAAGCTTTGAGAAATAATGGGAGAGATAATGACTATAAAATGGGAAAGAAGAAGAGAAAAAATAAAATAAAATAGACTAAATAAGTCCCTCACGCGTCAATAGCGAGTGTATAACACTCACTTTGCCATGTCAGCTGAAAGTGTCAAAATGACACAACGGAGCCTGACATGAGGTGTCTAAAATGAACAAAGCCTAGT